CCAGGGGAACACTAACAACTTGTTGGGTTCCTGTGCCAGTGGTGGTGTGCTGTGTATGGAGCAGGTTCCTGGGGTGTGGGAAGCAGCGAGGGAAAGGAAAACAACAGCAGTAGGGGGTAGAACACACCGAGGCCCCTGCTCCAATGGGTGGCGTTGTTTGTTGAGTCTGTTGTCCCCTACCTTTGTGCACGCTGCCGCGGTTTGTCTGAAAAACCCGTACCAAAAAACCAGCAAACCCACGTGCAACACAGTACGCTAACATCAGTGGTAAACCTTAGTCATCAGACATGGCTGCTTGCAGCCTGCGGCGCCTATGTGAGGTCTTTGCTTCCTTTGTGTCTCCATCTTCACTGCCATCTCCCCTCTCAGGTGTTGGTGTTCGTCGTCTGGTACTCGTGGTAGCACTTCTCCGCCGGCGCTGCAGCCCAAAAGCTTCATCTTCTGTTTCCGTCCCCGGCAAGTCAGCCGAGTCCAAGCTGCAGTCGTTGAGTCCGCTCCTTCTCGTCTGTCTCCCCGCTGGCTTCCAGAGTTCCTCTGGGGGTCTCCCCCCTGAGGCTTCGGCTGGCGGAGGTCCCCTCGTTGGCTGCGGCGGGTTCCATGGCACTGTGTCGGCAAGCGAGCCACATGAGTCCGTGGCTGAGTCCCCTACAAGTTGGATATCGTGACCCCAAATGTTCCTCGTCCACAGCTGGAGGTTACTCAGCGCCTCCGCTGCCATCGGCACCTGATCTCCTACCAAAGTAGGCCTGAGCCGGGTGATCAGTTGTTGCGCTCTGAGGATCGTGTAGGCTGAGGGCTCCGGCTGCTGCTGGGGGAGTGCCATTGCTTGTCCCCTATGTTGCTGTGCTGTGGTTTGGTGGGGCTCCAAGTCTCGATGCTGTGTGGATGCCATCGCTTGCTGCTGCTCCTGGCTTTGCTGTCCCCTCCCCATGCACGCGAACGCGCACCTGCGGTCCTTGGCAGGTATGGGCTTCCTGGTGGGGGGTTGGCCCCCCCAGGCTTGGCTGCACATTTTGAAGAGCCATAAAAGGAAAAGGTCCCCCGACCGATGGCAACAAACAGGCAAAGCACGTATACATTGCGAAGCAAGACACTAAGGCTGGGGCCCGAATCGGCGGGGGAGCTTAACGATCAGAATGGGGTGCTAGGGCAAAAACGTGCGGTTTCCCCCCGCTTCATTGAGCGAGTTCTGAGTGGCCGTTGGCGGAATGAAAAGCGAATTGAGGCTCTAGCAGTCCCCCGAATTCACCATGGGTTTACAGGTGAGTTGAAAAGATACTACGATTCTGGGCAATGTGGCCCTATACATGGTTTGAACGGAGAAGGCAAAAAGCCGTTAAAAACTTCACACCTAGTTCCCCTCAGAAGTTGTTGTGACGGTCTTTTTCCAGCAGGCGGTCGGCACCAGGCTTCACGAACCAAAACTTGCAAAGGGACTAAATCCCCCTTCTGGAGTGGGCTCCCCCTGTCAGCTTCTAGAGGCTTTGGCGGTCTGCTCGGGCTCTGGCCATGTGTTCTTGCACTTGTTGCACTCCACGCCATTGCACGTTGGGAACCAAGTGGACACGTCCCCCTTCTGCGACCGGGCAGTCTGGCTGTTGTGCTTGCCATCGCGGAAGTGGTGGACTCCCTGTTGGTTCGCTCGGTCTGAGTGCTAAGTGGCTGAGGCTGTCCCCCCGGTCAGAGGGGCGGCCAAAGTCCCCCCAAGGCCAACTGTGTAACGGTTGCTCGGCCTCATCTTCCGAGCTGTTCCCCCAATCGGGCGGTGTGTCAGTGTCAAGTGACTCCTTTCTCCCACTTGGGTCTTCACCGCTCACCTTTGTCTCATGCTCGGGCTGTGGTACTTGTTCTGGTCCCCCACTTTGTGGGTCTTCAAGGAGAACTCCCCCAGTTGGTTGCACACACTGAGCTGCCTCTGGTACAGCGGCTCTTCCCGAGCTGCTTGGGTCTGCAGTTCTCTGCCTTCTCCTCGTCCCCCGCGCTTTGCGGATCCGTTTACGGACCTTCTTGATCTGTCTGAGCAGTTCCCCCACCTGTCCGGGGAACCGGGCAACGTAGATGCGCGCTTCAGCAAAAACTCTTGGTTGGTATTTGTCCACCAAACGGATGTACTTGTCTACCTTGTCCGCCGTGCGGCAGCGTTCCGAATGTCGCTTGCAGAAAGCCTTGTACGAGGAGGTAGCCAGCCTGTTTGAGAGAGGCTTTCCTGTAGTGGCATCCTTGTATCCCCCGTTGTCCTCGTCTTCCTGGATGTCTTTCCCTATCCAGCTGTCAAGGGAGTGAGGCGTGTACAGCAGCAAGTTCCCCCGCCTCGTCCGAAACTGCGTCATCTCCGAAAAAGGTGGCGAAGGCGAAGTTGTAGCTCCCCCTTGTGGGGGGGGGGGTGGCTCGCTGCTTTGTGTGGCTTGCGGCAGCGGCGGGCAAGGTCGACTGTTCCCCCTGTCTGTCACCCCAAAGAGTCGGCATCGAGGATCTGTTCGCTCGTGCCGCTTTCTAAAGCCAGTGGTACATGCACCACCCCCAAATTTACATATTTTACATTCTTTTGCCATCCCCCGTAGGTCGGCCTTCACTATGTCGCCCTTCCTGCCAAAATCACGACCTGGTAGTTGATGGTCTCCCCCGCCCAACGGCAAGGTAGTGGGTGGTCGGCGCGATGGTAAAGGAAAGCAAGCGGCAGAAGACGTTGAGCGTCCCCTTCCCGGCAAGCGTGTTGAGGAACAGGTACTTGCAGTAACCAGGTCTCCCACAAGGTCGTAACTTTACCTTCTCGGTTATCGCTCGCAGCGGCAAAGGACCTCACAAGGGCCTCTGAAGCAAAGCGGCAGCTCTCTCTCTCTCTCTCTTTTCTTTCTTTCGTCAGGGTTGTGGGTAGGGGAAGTTCCCCTCTCTCTCTCTTGCTTGCTTGCTTGCTTGCAAGGCGTTTGGGGGCATGGGGGAGGCCCCAGCACTCTCTCTCTCTCTCTCTCTCCCTCCCCCTCTCCTTTCTTTCACAAGGGCAAGAGGTGAGGGTGCGACCCGCACCCCCGCACTCCTGGCGCCCGCCATATGGCATGGGAAGCATAGTCCAGACCAAAGCATGGAGGAGGCGCATATTTGCAGGCCTTCCAGTGGTGCGAAGGTAAACATGTCCACAAGGGCGTAGGGTCAGAAGAACTTTTTCATCAACGCGCGGAGTCCCCGGATGCCGATGTGTCATTTGGAAAGCGGCTGCCAAAAGAATCATTTAACACTGGCGATTGTCATCGACCAAAATGACACGTTCACCTCCAACCAACAACTGATTGTTGAGAGAAAGAGGTTGAACTTGACTGGTTGTTAAAGAAATATCAAACCGTCATAACACTGCTGCATTTCCGAAATCATGTCCAATCCAAAACAGCAACGAAGGGTTGCACTACTACGACGCACTACTACGACGTTACGACTATGACGAACATTGCAGGATTCAAGTTCACAAAGCCCAGTTCCTGGTTCAAAGGTCGCCCTTCAACCAGCTCTGTCTCGCTCTCTCTTTCTTTCCCAGGGTATAAGGGGCGAGTAAAGCCCCCCGGCCAATAGGCCCCCCACCTGTTATGGGGCTTTCGGGGGTGTTTGGTAAGGTATGTTTGAGCTCTGATTTCGGATATTTTCTCTCTCTCTCTCTCTCTCTCTCTCTCTCTATCTCCAACACATGCAACTGCAGCTTCAACACTCTGTGATGAGTATACGGTTGGGCTCCCAAACACGCCTTTGCAGGAAGTATCGCCACTCCCAGCACGCCATGGACGCAGGGCACAGGGCACCAAGCACCATGAAATAAGAGTATCCACGACCAGTGCCTTCTCAAGTCATTTGCAGGCAATAGCCCAAGCTTGCGAATTCAATAAGGGTTTGCCAGGAAAACCCAAAGCAGCATCTCCAGCGGCTGCGGACTTCTCTCATGAGCACGTGACGGAAGCAGCCAAGGCTGCGCTCAGGCATCCGGAGGCCAGCCGCCAAGAACCGACCTGAGGCTTAGCACCGGTACAGTCCCAGTTGCTGTTTCTTGCATGTGCCCTCTGTCTGCCCCGGCATCTTGAGTATGGCCGTAACGGCCGTAACACCCTGGTCTCAATTAAATCTTCATCTAGCATCTGACTCTCCTTCTAGAGGCCATCTTCTTCAGAAAGCGAGTGACCGAGTAGTGAATAACACATCCCTTGTCCTTGCTGTGATCCGAGCATCCGCCCCCCAACGAAGCACACAGAAAAACATAGAAGCAGCCGTTTGCTCCTTCTTTCAGGGCTACCTGAGCTCCGCAACTGCGGCCTTTCCATCCTGGTTTTCCTCCCGATGTTTCCGCGATCCATTCATCGCATGATGATCCCATGTCATCCGAGAGCTGCACCCAGCGGGGGCACAGGCTTGGTAGCAGCAGGTTCCCCATCCTTGGAGGCAGATGTGGTTTCAATGTGTCAACCCTCAAGAGAGGCCTTGGTGAGCGGTGGCGAACGCAAGGCCTACGGTCCAGATTGCCGAGGAGCAGGCGATGCCAGCAAGAATGCTTGCGGCCTCGGTGGGTTCAGCGGTTCAGCCCCACTTCGGGCCGTGGAAGTCGGCAACCTTTCCGCGCGAGTACTTGCTGGAAGTACCACGCAGTGCAGCCTTTCGGCAGGAAGTCTCGCATGGAGCCTACATCGCCACACTCGGCTTTGAGAGAGGAACTTGCAACTTGTGGCAGGCAGCAGAAATTCGTGAGCCTGCTTGCCACCAGTGAATCCGAAAACCAGCATACCGCAGTATGCCGCAGCTTTAACGCGAAAGTACATGAGCCCCGAGCCCGCTTCCTAGGTTGATTTCAAAGGGTTCAAGCTGCGATGCTTCGTGACGAAGCCGTCGCATCTGGTGAAGCTAAAAATCTGTCGCATCCCGAATCTTGCGTTGCAGAGTGCCACTGAGCATGGGCCCGGGGCTGCGGCTCGGCTTCCTCCCCATCTGTACAACATGATCTGCACGAATTCTGTCTGCGCATGATGCAGTCACCACCGAAGCTCAGGCGACAGAGACCCAAAGATTTCCTGAAGGGAAGCAAGAGTGCTCCGCCACAGATACGGGAGCTCGCAGCAATCTCACGATCGAACACCCAACAGTCCTCGAAAGAGGCCCCACAAGACCTCGGGCGAACATGCACCTGATGACATCAGACATTGCCAAAGTGCCTCCCAAGCCAGTCTTCTTTCTCCAAGGTGCTCGTCCGAGGAGAGGCCAGCGGCTTGGCCGATGTGACCAGCGCCTGCGTTCGCCAGACCTCTCAGAACCTCATCTGGCCGCTCTTCGACAGCGAACTTGGGCCATGTAAACTTAGGGAGGTGGTCCAGGCAGGCACGGATGCAGTGCAGCTTGCCCGAGCGCTGCACATCATGGCAAGCCGCCTTTCCTGGGCTCTTGAACGAGTGGCCCTACCATCTTCATCGGACGCAGAGCAGCGAGCCGAGCCAGCCGAGCTCCCCCACGCCTCACCCTCCTAAGCCTCAACATGCCACAACCGTCCATTGCGCCACTTGCTCCGCTCACCTGCCGGGCTAGCACCGCTGCAGCCCGGTGTCGCCGCGACCATTGCTGCAGCGCCCCACGCAGGGCTGCGCCCAGGTCCAGCGGCGAAGGTCTCAGAGAGTGGCTAACTTCTGGCCGATGCTCAGATCATGCAGATGCAAGATGCTCCTCAGCAGTCCGTGGCACACCTTCACTTGCTGAGCTGGCCACTCTCCGTCCGACCGGATTCGCGCCAACTGTCCGAGAAGCTCCTGTAGAGCTACAGCGCAGACGTCCACTTCGCAGCAAGAGGCAGCTGCTGGGCATCTCATCCGCGTGTGTCTGCCGATCCCCGCCTCAGATTCCCTGCGTGCGCTTTCCACCTCACCCGGCGACATGCAGGCATGGAAGCAAGCCCCGGAGGCCCGGAGCCGCCTTGTTTAGCCTTCGGGCCTGGCCTCGCTTCGACAGCGTATCGTGTCTCGACGCAGCTGCAGGTCTCTCCGCACCTCAAATCTTCAGAAGTGATGTGGACCCAAACCCCCCGGGGCGCGCGAAGCCAAACGCCTCGTCGACGGCCTTCTGCAAGTTTATGTGGAGCTTCGCCTAGTGCAAAGCAAACTCGTATGACAGCTTCGTCGACAAGTAGAAAACTTATAAATACTAAAACCAACTTCAGAAACTGAAACCTTCATGTGTAGACCATACTTCCCCAGCAGCCTCAGCAGCGGCCCACGATCAGATTCCAAGTAGTTGCATTGCCATAAGCTCGGGCATGTATGCTGCAGGTGCCTGGGCATACAGCTCGGCGGCTTGCTGTCGACGTTGGACCTCATCCTGGCACAAATGGTTCGAGCATAGAACTCGCCTTTGAAGTCTCACGTAGACAGCAGGCTAACCGGATCTAACCGGCGAACTCGTCCAAAGCTCAGGTGGGCCTCGACAGAGAGCTCCTTGGCACCTGCAAGAGAGCACATGTTCTCTGGACATGTCGCAAGCAGGATCTCCTGCAGAAGGACATGCAACATGATCCACATAGCACCACTTTCGGGCCTGGGCTTGTAGGATTTGTAGGATCTGTGAGCTCCGGAGACTGCACCCGCGGTTGCTTCGCAGGGCCGTGGTTTGTTGATTCCAGCGCTGGCCTGGGCATTGCATGTCGACACAGCCAGGTACCGGATGATTGCTATTGCTGAATCCTGCCATATGCTCGAGACGTACCAAGTGTGCCGCTTGACCACCTGCAGGCTTTGTGGCAGAAGGCTTCGAGCTTCCTCCTGGCACAAAAGGCGATGATTTTGTTGTTGACAGGAAGCTGCAGCCGCCATTCGCGAATGCCTGAAGTCGTTTTGCTCGGCATACAGCTTGTTCGGCACCGGATCCTCCCGGAGCCAATTCTGCTCTGGCGACGTCACTGGGAAAGCCCCGCTCAACTCCTGGCCTCTCCGCCGCCAAGCTCGCAGCTCCCCGGCTGCAGCCAACTGAGCCCAGCAGCTCAAAGCCGAGAAAGCCGAGAGCAGAAAAGGACTTTGAGAGCGCCTCGCATGCTTCGGCACCAGCCGCCGCCTCCTCAGCCAGGCCTCGGCAAGGCACAAGACAAGCAATACTCCACCGCCTTTCTCCACTTCACTTTCATGTTCTGAGATGTCAGGCGTCGCCGTTCAAGACTTGCAGCGAGCAAGGCGGACTGGGTGCGCTCGCACTGCGCCTGCTTCGCATGGCCGGGTCAACTCTCGGGACTGCATGGAAACCGCAAGGGTACATCAAGGCCCTACATGAAGCAGCTCACAAAGGCACTGTCTTTTGCTGCTGTGAGTCCAGGTCTCAGGTGTCTCTCAGACTCTCTCAGGGAAGTGTGAGATCGACTCCGGCGCCCCGGATCTCACGCAGACCTCAGCAGCTAGCAAAGCATCTTGCAAGCCGTTTGCTGCTTCTCTCACGCTTTAATCCACTGCACTGGCAACCCAATTCCAAAGTCGCCAGCAACCGGCTTTTGAGATTGCTGTTCCTGCCAAGGTGCTTTGTTCCCAGAGTGCTTCCTGAAGCGCAGGGCTCTGGTGGTCCTGGAGTAGCCATATAACCAAGACCCCTTGCGATTGAAGACATTACTTGCTGGACAGATGCACATTAATTTATATTTCGTCTGCTGCCCACAGTGAGCATATCCGGACATCACAAACCAGACACAAGCAAGCAACTGCCTGCCAGCGAGCAAACCCGCTGAGCGGCGGCCCCAGGCGCCTCTAATGTCAAACCCTTCACGTCCTGGCTTGGCTCCGAGACTTCGAGGGCCTCTCTAGCAGCAATGGGGCTCCTGGCCAAGCGCTCCGTCTGTGCTCCGACTGCCTCTGGGCCCGGCTGAAGCAGAGCACTTGCACTATCTCGACACCACACACGAAGCAGCTCCAGAATTCGAAGAGCGTCGACAGACTTGCGCCGCGGTAGCCGTTCCTAGAGGGGTATGGCTACGGTGATATTTAAAGGACGTCACACGGGCTTCGGTGGCGACACTCGCCTTCAGCCACACTCCTGGTATATCAACTCTCTGCCATGAGGGGATGTGCAGGTGATGGATATCTCAAGACGTAAAGTGCTGCCGCGCGGCCAATACCTGCTTCAAAGGTTGGAACTCAAGAAAAACATTCGTCTCAGAAGCATGTAAGAGCAAGTCCAAGACCGTGAGCTTGTCAAACCAGTACTCCGCAGACCCGCGCATCGAAACCCGCATAGCTAGCTTAGCACAGCTAGGTTCAGTGCTGAGTGCATGCCATCAGGCGTTCACAGACTGCTGACCATGGACGTTTTGAGTTAGAGGTGGGACCATCGCTTCCACAGCGCACAGTGCCAAGTCTAGCAGCAGGACTGCTTGCTTCACCTTTCCCGCTTGTACACTGCCTCCGTTGCATCGACACGTCATTGTGCTTCGAATGCAGTATCAGGAACTCTGAATCTGTGCAGCTTGTAGCTGTGCCTGAGTCGTCAAAGCCTACCGGGGAGTGCGGTCCCATTGCCAGGCAGCCTGGGCGGTGCCGGGACGCAGCCCTCGTCCGCGGTAGCAGCCTGGAGGCCAGGCAGGGAGGGCTGCCTCTGCATCAGTTGCAAGCTCCAGCCGACTCCAGCCTTCACCACCGTCTTTGCTGCAGTCTCTGGGCTGATCAGAAGCCGGGAGAAAACCTGAGAGTGGAAGCCTCCACCCACCTACAATCCAAGTTGAGTAAATATCTTCCGAAAGCGAACAAGGCACAGCCTGTTGCCATCCTGCATACCCACGCCAAATGTCAGATGCAACCTCAGCTTCACACGATGTGGGGCTGCCAAACGGGTGTCGCTAGCCGTCCCACCCAGAACATGTCACATCATTCATCATCCTTCAAATCCACTGTATATCGCTTCAGAAGAGTGAGGCAAGCCCACGACAAATTCGGAAAGTCCGCGGAAATTGCCAAATGCCAGTCCCCCAAATCCCTCCGAACACCAGCAAAGCAGGTTTCAGACATTTGACACCGCCCGGGTTGACACAGTGGAAAGCCACATCCTGGACATGGCAGATTTCACACGCTTGAGGTAAGTTCAGATGCCAAGACGACATGACAGTGAAAACTGTCGTAGGCTCCTGCCTCGCCATAACGCTTGTGGAGCGCGTAACTCGACACAATCCTTGCGTGCCAGGAGCCGGGTAAGGAGAGGAACAGTTTGTCAACTCTTGAGCAAAGCGTCTGTGCAAGCTTGGAAAGCCCGTAGAGAGAGACCTCAATACTGACGTTGAGGAGTGTTCCCGACACCTGAGACTCGGCTATAACCAAGTGGCATATGGATCTCGAATTTCTGTTGTGATGCTGAAGTCGTCCAATGAAGCGCCTACAGTCAACAGGCGTTCAAGATCAACACCGACTTCGCTCAGGCCCGGTCCAAGTTTGGCTGGAATGCATAAGTGCTGCCATCCGAACTCGGCGATGCTGCTTGCAGCCGGAAGCACTTCTGTGGACGACCGAGGAAACGTTGATCCTCGAATGCACCGGCTGTGCTGTCAAGGCTTCGATGCTGGCATTCCACCCCGACTGCGGGACATGCATGCAGTATAACTTCAGTCGTTGACATCCACATGAAGAGCAAGTGCTACAGCAGTGCTTGAGACATGAAGCAGTCAAGAATCACACGCCCCTTGGCTCGACGGAGCAGCGGCAGCAACAGCAGGGTCAGGAGAAAGTGCGACCTCGCGGAAGGATCTGCGTTCCGAAACATCCTGTCAACAAGCCGCAGCTGGACAGGTTGGGCCATCCAACAGAACCCAAATGAGTTCAAGACCCCGACTTCATCTGCCGGCTGGGCAGAGAAAGGGACAATGCACTTGGCCGAATGAATAACAGACCCCTTCCGAATTACTGAGGTTTGGTTGTGCAGAGGACTGCTGTATAGAAGCCCAGAAGCAGGTAGTTCGTCTGATAAAGCTTGTCCACGCCGTCCGACGACAGCTGTCGGGATGGCTCCTGCAAATGCCAGCTAGACGGCATTGAACATCAATGAGACCCGGTATGGATGATTGAAGTATCTTCGCAACTCAAAGGACCGGCTCTGCTTACGCAAGGCACAATTGTGTTCAAAAGGGCAGAACATGAATCCGCGGAGGGCAGCGGCCAAAGACCTGCCTGCTCAGCCGTCGCGGAGTTGAGGCCAGCATTGCCTCAGGGGTCATTTTCCAGATTCTACCAAACCTAAGCCTCAGGTGCCACTTAGGATGCTGCAGACCAGCAGCTTCAGCTCACCATCCATGCCTTTCAGCTCCTGCGAGGGGTTTTCTGCACTCCAAAGACTCGAGGCCAAGGACAAATTTCGGGGTTGCTTCCATGATCCCTGTCTCTACATTCCGCTCCGAGCGTAATCTCTCGCCAGAAATGTAAACAGACCTGCACGATAGTCATACCCGTGCATGATGAAACTAAGCGCCTGGCATCAGTCAATCCTCCAGCCCTCGAAGTCTCATATGCTTTTTCACCAAGCGCCAGCATGCCTTCTGCCTGTATTGATGCTGGATAAGGCCCGACTGTGTCTAGAAGGCCTCTGCGAATTTCAGCACGGAAGCGAAGGAGGAGAGGTCGAGCCTCGGAACAAAACACCGACTTCTGCTTCCACTCCATGCTTGTGCAATTCCCATGCTGCCCAATTCTCATCAGTAGCTGGGTGACTGTCGATTGATGACGTCGCCTCCTGCCTCACCGCGAGGCTTGAACACAACTTGGCGCTGTTGCAACGGTCTCGAATTTGCGCTCCTCTGTCAGGGTCGCTGCAGCCGCTTCTCCGCGTGCGACACTGCGACAGCCAATGACCACTGCATAGCCAGCAGAAGCGAGCTGGCCTGCGAGAATGATCCACAGTCACACTTCCGGACCAGAATGCTGAGTCGTTCTGTCTTTTGTCGGGCATGGGCCCGAGTCTCCTAACGTGCTGCAATCCTACGGGCCCACAGGGCTTGAGAGGCCAAGATTGAGCCGAGAAGGCACCGAGTTGTTGCTGGGCACACCATGAAACCTTGTTGCAACCTGATACTCGAAGTCTCCAGGTCTCCTCCAGGTCTCTTTCTTGAGCCTGTTACGCGTTCTCCTTATTGGTCGGGTAGATCTTGGAAGAGTTAGTCACTGGAAGTCCGCACAGTCCCTACGCGCACTGTACCGGTCTGAGCCATGGTTCGACTTATGGGTACTTTCGAGTAGACTCCGGGTCTGGGCCTGTCATGTAGTTCCCCCTTGTCAAGACACCAGCTCTGGGGCCTGCGGTGTAATAGCCGATGCCGGTATTCCCTCCGGTGACGACGGCAATCGGTGCACCTGACGAGCGACTCGACTGACCCGACTCGCTTCTCGCTCCGCCTGGCACTTTCTGCTCACCAGCTCACTAGCTGCAACTTGCGTATCACGGGTAAAACATCTACAGCTTGCCGATCAAACACGCCTGCACGGCTTCGTATGGCAGCGGTCACAGCACTTCGGACAGAAACAGAATCATACAAGTCAATCAGTTTTCGGCCGCACCTGCCGAATCTCCCACGGCCGTCATCGCGAGAACAAGGAGCAAAGGCCGGGCGGCGAAAGCCAGCATGAGCACGTGCTACATCTCACACTCTGTTTGCCCGTCACAGTGCTCGGCTACATATTTTTCAGTGCTGAGCTGTGGCCGTGTAGGATGAGTGTACGACACCTACGCTGCCACCCTAGCGATGGGGTGGGCGTGTACTCTTCTTGCTGACACTCTCCTCAGGTGGGCGCGGTTTACACCTGTAAGCATGATGACAGGCGAGAGCAAAAACACATGGAGCTGATTGATGACAAGCATGGACTTTGAGAAGTAAGTGCTCAACTCCGATCGGACAGCAAGATACAGAGACGCTGTGTCTGATTCCTCGAACAGAGCAGGGCCTCTGCAGCGCTGATCCGACAGCGCGCGCGCAGGCGCAACTGAGGCGACTCCGGCAAGACAGGGAAAGATGTCAAACGAATTGGAAGGAAGTCCAAACACCGCAGGTCACCTCTCCCGCATCATTGCAACTGCTGTTGCTTGGCAGCTGCGCCTCACCATCAAGCTGGAGTTGAGCATTGTTCAGTGTTGGAAGTGTTGCTTCCCCCGAGGGTTCAACATGAGCGGATGCATCCTGAAGATCTCGGATCTCATGTTAAAGCTGAGATGGCCTCGTCCAACTCCTGCTCTGCCCGAGCCTGTGCTGCACATGGAGGAAATGCTGTCGGAAGCTTTGATCCTTTCCAGCAGTCTCAAGGTGTCGCCACAGCATTCGGGGAATCCGATGAGCACACTTGCGAACTGAATTTATGTCATCTGCTTGGGGACAGATGTGGCCAGCACAATAGCACCGCGCCTGAGCAACTTGTTCCCAGATGCTGCCAACGGCGGACCTGGACTGGAAATTCTGCAGAAGTCTTTTGACTGGTTCTCTGCACCTCACCTAGCCACTTCCAAACTACTTGTGACAACTTGTGCAAACTTGCAAGTCCACGCTTCCTTCGGCGAAGAATCCAAGCGCTCTGCAGAGGCATCGCAGCCTCCTGCAGCAACTGGTTCCCGGCGGCTGTCCTTAAGCAGCGACTAACTCCGGAATGCGAGTTATTTGTTTGGTGCAATCAGAGAGCAACGCCTTTGGACCAACCCCCAAGCGGATCCTGATCTCCCCTGTTCACCGTGTCCTCGCGCTATTGTACTAGGCTTCGAAGGCGACAGCAGTGCCCGACTCGGATTGACAGGCTTGAGACTCCCACCCATGACAATCGAATGGTTTCACGCATCTCCTGCATCTGCCCATCCGTGTGTATATCTGTGGTGGGCCAGTGTTATGTGGGTGGTGGGCTGTAACAGTGTGCGTTCCATGGTGTGGGCGGTCCTGCGCGGATGACGGGATGTGAAACTGATGGAAACGTGTCGCAGGCCATTCGTTAGCACCACAAGTGGCGTGGGGCTGAAGACCTATGGCCGGCCGTCGAGGCCTTATGGCCCCGCGCTTCGGGAACGAAAAGCGCGGAACCCTTCAACTCAACTCGCTTGTCGCGTGGGAAGCCATGCACGTTGCTCAGATGTTGAGGAGCAGTTGGGGACTCTTCGAGCTCCAGCAGAAAAAGGCTCACGGGACAACTGCGTTTGACCACCATGCTCGCTCCTCTTGCAGCCCAGGTCACTCGACACCAAGAGCCGCACGCGCCTCCTGGAACACATCAACTTGACGAAATCGCAAGGATCGGCCATCCTCGGCCTCCTCTTTATTGGCCAACAAGCAAAGACACTCATACGAGCCGACATGTGTGCGTGCAAGGTGCTTAGGCGGGACAGGAGAGCAGTGCACTGAGCACTAAGAAAATTTTGCATAGCTTCGTTTAGCAGCCCTTTCACCACCCGCGGTGCGGCGATTACTACCTGGATCAAGAATTGGGACATGCTGTTACTTCAACCAGATTCAAACACCGTGTTCGAACACCATGACTCCATGACTCATGTCACCGAAAACAAAAGCAGACAAGACCGAAAGTCATGATGCCCCAGGTTTTAACAACCATCTCTACCCGCATCACAATGCAGACCTACCGAAAAACCAGCTGGCAAAAGAATCAAAAAGACAACGGTCGGCCTCGGCAGCCACCTCCGCAGCACCCTCCGCGTTGGCCGCTGCCACGGCCGAATGCAAAACCTCGCAAGTGGGGCATGCGACAAGGGAATCCCAAACCTAGCTGCGACACCCTGACAGCACAGCAGGCAATTCTCGTCGGCCTGCTGAACCTGCTGCAGCTGCTCGGCAAGCCTTTCCGCAAGAGCAAAACCTTTTTTGCGATGAATTAGAGGTGTACATACATACATACATACATACATACATACGTACATAAATACATACATACGTACATAAATACATACATACATACATACAGACAGACAGACAGACAGCCATACATGGCATGGCATGGCATGGCATGGCATGGCATGGCATGGCATGGCATGGCATGGCATGCATACATACATACGTACATTGGCGCTTACTGCAAGTCTACCTCGAACTAATCCGCAAATGCACGCTCACCCAATTCCGAGAGAGCCCTGCAAACGGCATAAACCCTGCAGCATGAATGCCTTCTCTACATGAACTTGGCAGGACAACTCCACCATTCCAGAGCCTCTTTCCATCCGCAGAAGCCTGCAAAGCCTGCAAGAACGTTTTGGAAATCTCGTCGAGATTGCCGTGCACCGGGGTGTGCGTCCGAATGCGGATGGTTCAACTTTCGCGCTTGCATCAAAAACACAGTCGTTTCAAAGTCAAAAACATGCAAAATCCTTCGAGCTTTCGGGAAATCTCAACTAATCAAAACGGAACGAACGAAGTGGACCGGACTCAACAGCTGCGACTAAGAAACCCAACGACACCATTCCAATTTGACTCACCCACATACGCATTCCAAGAGCAGCATTGCGCGCCGCAGCTTTCACGAAAGCTATTTGAGTGATTTACCACAGGGCAGCCTATTTGCATGCATGTACATATGTATTAGATATCATATGCATGTATATGTATCTGTGATCTCGCGCTTGTTTGCTTCAGATCGAAGATGGCAAGTGGGACGTGACGCACAACATCAGCACCCGAGGAATATCAAAACAGATGTGTGAATGTTCCTCGAGCAGGGCTTTAACAAGGCCCCAAGTTTAACAAGCTTTCAGTGCACACACAAAGTCTCGGTTTCCAAAACCAGCCAGAGCCATCCTCCTCAGTTCCTTCAAGAAATACGGCAGTCGTAAGGATTCTTTCGTGAAGAGGAAAGATGCTTCTGAGGGCTCCGAGAATCATTCCGAGGTATCATGCCACTGTCACTCAGTTCGGAAGACGGGGATCGACTGAAAACGGCAAAGAAGATTCCTCGATCTGGTTGTTCACGCTGACAAGCCCTTGAAGCAAGGGACCTCTGCTTGCATCTCCACTTCCTCCGCAGAGTGGCAATAACTGTGCGATCCCTTGCTACAGAAGTCCACGAAGAAGCACAAGTTTCCCCGCTCATGTGCACACCTGCCTGGGCCCTCCGCTGCTCTTTCTCTGCGACCTGCCCAACCGGGAACCCTGGGACTAGGTCTAGGTTCACCCGGCTGCAGGACAAGTTTTTCCGGTCTGCACGTCTGAGCTGGGGCCGTTTGTTGCAATCCTTCCAATGAATCGTAGTTTTCGCGGGACGGCAGGAATGTATCTTCAAGATGCGACCAGGGTCACACTGAGCAGCGCGTGCGCTTCCACAGCTTTGGAAAAATGTCAAATTGACTGCATCGTCCTTCTACTCGCACGTAACGCACAACCATTAGCCCCTAGCCTTATGAAAGCTGTGGTTCCAGCCTGGTCTGCGAGGCCAGTGCTAAGCGGCATCACACGTCAGCAAAGCCACTTCAAGCTGCCAACAGATCAAACTGGTGGATGCTGGATGCTCCACCTGCAGTACCTATCTTTGTTTCATGCGACAATACAGGAAAGGAAGACCGCTAAGTTAGCAAGCCGCGACTGCTTCGCCTAATCCCGGCCAACCCATACTCCACACTAGGTGAGCGCTCCACGACGTGTTCTGCCTTCGAACACTCAGCGCATCTGGCCGGATCGTTCAGTGGCCCGGGACAACACAGGGCTCGACCGTGCTGTGCAGAGATCTGTCTTGATTGCATTGTTCAGGTCCCCGAGTTGACAGGTCGTCGACTCTTCAGAGTTGTGTGACAAGCAAACCGAAGCATCGACGTCCAGGATGAGAACCCTGGCCGACCTCTGACGACATCCCGGATCGCAGGGCAGCGCACTCTTCCAACCTGGAGACATTGGCAGCTCTCGCATACAGCTGCAACTGGAGCAGTCGCAAGTCAGCAGAATCCTGCGTGCGCCCGATCTGCTTGCAGTCGAGCCGCAGCTTGCCCACCTCGTCGCGCAGCGACGAAGACTCCGCCTGTGCCTGCATTATACCGTCTTATGCATTGCTGAACATCACAACTTGATTCCGACTTCAGCCTTGCAAACCTGGCCCTATCACCCCGTGCTACCCTTATGCAAACCGAATGAGTGGGCCTCTGCACTTTGCTTGGCCAGCTGCTGCTTGCTGGACTCCAGCTCCGTGCACAACACCTGCAACAAAGAGAGGGGGGCAGGAGCGAGGCAGGGCGAGCACATCTGCTTACGGTCTTGCAACTTCTGAGTCTCTGGACTCAAAACTTCGGCATCACACATTGCTTTGCAGGCTAACTGTACTATATAGGATCGGACGGGAACGTGGCCTGCCCTCTAATCTGTTGACGTGCCTCAGCCTCCCGCAGCTCAGTCTTTGCGGCCTGCTAGACTTCAAACATAGGAAAGTCAGCACTCACGCACAGCCTTCTCTCCAACAGCATGTTGCCCTCGTTTGGAGATGTCATGCGTCGTGGCCACGCTTGTCAAGGCAAACCAGCATCATCGCTGTCTGCGTTGATGCAAGGCTCGGGGAAGTCTTGTGTTGATCGCTGTGGTGTGTTGTCGGGTGGGTACTTGTATTTCTTCTGGGTTGGGGCGATGAAGCAACTCTGCAAGTCCTGAAACAGCGTCTCGATGCAAC